CACTAGGAAACTTAATTAAGTTGTAGTAGTTATCTTTAACCCTCGATAATGTAGAATTAAAGATTATAGTGGTTTAAAAAGCTCGAGGTCAGATATAACAAACAATTATTAAATTAAGGATGATATCCAAAATTTGATATGAATTTCTATGTTCCGTGAGATCTTTTAATGTTATTGGAGTTGTATTGAGGGATATGTAGTTCTTTTTCCTATCTCTATTAGTACATTATTGAGATAAATTTGATTAGCAATACTTGAGGATTGTTGATATGAGTATTAAAGATTTGGATTTGATGATTAGTGGTGATAATTGAGAAGATGTAATTGGAAGAATCAATAATAATACCTATGCAGATTGGCTTTGACATGGATATAGAAACTTTATGTAATATTTGGGATAAATGACCATGGTTATCTATATCTATACTACTAATAAAAGTACCTTAACATGAAAAACTTTTGATTCACTATTTTACCCTCATAAAGAATAAAAAAGGTCAATCTATCCTTTCACACTTAATATTTAAATTATCATTGTATCCTTATGCATTTAAATCCCCAAATTGCATCTAAAATCACTTTTAATTATATATTCCCTATGTATAAATGTTAATTTTTATAAAACTTTTTGATTGATTATATTGCTCTCAAAAAATATATGCATAATTATAAGTTTTAACAAATATTTAAAAAAACCTTCAAAAATTCCATCAATATAATATTATTCACCTTATTTATAAAGATAATATTATGACTACATATTTACATTTTATTTTTTATCAAAATGTTTAACCGTTTCATTTTTAAGAAAAAAAATAATGTATATATAGTTTTACATGATTTTTTATTTGCAGTAAACTTTTCAGACTGTGTTAAGATTTTATGTGAAAACTCAATTTTTTTTAAAAAAAAATTTAGTATTCTTTATAATATATATTATAGTATTGTATATTATTGATAATTATTTTTATTTTATTCAATGACTTATAAGTGGAATCTTAATCAAATTAATTTTTAAATTATCTATTCTCTATTTATAAATATCAATTTTTATGAAACTTTTTGATTTATTATATTATTCTTAAAAAATATTTGCATTATTTTAGGTTTTAAGAAAATATTCAAAAAAATCTTCAAAAACTCCATCAGTATAATATTTACTCATCTCATTTATAAAGTTAATATTATGACTATATATGCATATTTTATTTTTCATCAAAATGTTTAACCATTTCATTTTTAAGATAAAAAAATAAAAAAATATATATATATATATATATATATATATATATATATATATATATATATATATATATATATATATATATATATATATATATATATATATAGTTTTATATTATTTTTTAGTCTCAGTAAACTTTTTAAACTGCATTAACATTTTATGTGAAAACTTGAATTTTTTTAAAATTTTAATATACTTTATAATATATATTATAGTGTTGTATATTAAATTGTATCTCAATTAACCTAACTAATCTTAAGTACAGTAAGTTCTAATATAATTGGTATATTGATAATTGTTTTTATTTTATTCAATGATTTATAAGTGGAATCTTAATCAAATTGATTTTAAAAAATTTAGTTTTCAAACATCTCTAAAAAATCACTTTCAATTACAAAATTATAGAAACAAAATAGAACTTTAATTATTTTTTATTTTTTCTTAAAGTTAGAATAACAACACTTGAAAAAATACAATATTTTCAAAAATTTTATAGCGAGCAGAAGACATGAAAAAATAAGTTTAATAAATTTGAGATGATATTTAATTCAAGTACACATATACCAAATATTTATTTATTTTTTTAAAAAATAAATTATTTACGTGTAACGCACGTGATGCATTGTTAGTCCTAGTAATTAGTAGATTCTTCTTATCCCTAAGGATTATGAATAATGGTTAAGACTATGATGACTAATGTGGTTAAATCGAGGAACATTGATATAATCATTGAGAGTTTTGTTTTTTATTATGATTATACTGCAAAAAATCTCATAGTATTGAATTGAAGGAGATTATTGTGATCCTTCAAAATCTATCTTTATCTTATGAATTATAAATATATTTATTCTGGATTGATTCATGAAAATTCAAGATTATAAGTAACGAATAGACGGGAGAGGGTGTGAAAGCTGCTAGAGATTGATTACATGGGTTATTGATTCTAGCTCAAGACTAGAGATTGAGAAGAAATATTTAGGAGATAGAGAAAATGATTAGTGTTAATCAAGTTGGTGAATAATGTGAAGATATTAAGAGTGATATAACAATAGGAATTCGAATGCACATACGTTATGAATGAGATTTTAAGACTTCTTGAGTTGAGTACAAGATTGAAGACTAAAAAAAAAATTTTAGAGCTAAAAACTTGACCCATAGCCCAAGTAGTATATTTGTTTATCTATACTATTTTAAAATATTAACATAATTGAAAAATATTTTATTTCTCCTTTTGCCCCTCAATAATACAACTATGTCATGCTTATCATTCAACATTAAGCCTATGTCATTATCTCTATGCTACTGATTCCTAATTTTCAGCAGTTACTGCATCTCTGTCTCTCTCCTATGCATATTCACCAGTCGGTTAAGAAGCCACACACATCGTCAGTCTCTCTTTAATTCCCTCTCTTCACCTTCTCTCTTTTCAGGGCTTCTCCATACCGATCAATTTCTACACCTTTGACCATTACTCCTTCAGAATTCAAAATGTCTTTTATTCCATGTAAATTAATTAGGTTATTAAACCTCCTGCCATTAGTTCTCAAAGGCACCCCTTCATCTCTCTTTCTTCGCCAGTTGAGGTCCTTTTCTTTCACGGTAACCGTCGCTAGTGTATAACCTCTCTAGATTGGAATTCGTGGCCCTACATATTCTACAAATTAAAGGTTGTAGCAGCAATGGTGGCATCAAATTACGATTAGGAATACGAATAATTGCGACCCAACAGTGTTGTTATTCATCACGTACTCTAATTTTGTTTGCTCTATTTCTCTCTTAGACACATACCGTCAGGCTTTGCCTTGCCGAGCCAACGGTGTCTGTCAATAGGTAGTGCATTTTTCTTTTCGTATAATATCTTTGTTTTTTATGTTTGTTTTTGGTTTATGGTTTAATAAATCAATGAAATTAGCATTTTTAAGCCACAATTGCTCTTCTCCATCACACACCCTCTTTGTGTATATGGGGGTTAGGCAAAAGGTTGCGTACGTGCTTTGTTTGGACAAGTTTTCTGGTTGGAGAGGAGCCGCTAGATATGGAAACCTGATGATGGCAGTTTTTTATTTACTCATTTTGTTCTAAAATTGCTATGCTAACTTTAATTATTATCATTAGTACTTTTGGTTTGTTAGTAAAATTATTTTGCTAAGTTGAATTATTATCTTTATTTCTTTTGGTTTGAAAATCCTCATGTGAAAAACTTTGTTGATGGTTTATTTGGTTGCTTTACTCGAGTATGGAATTTGTGCAATCTAATTGGTGCCGCTTTATTCTTGAAAGAATCATATTTTTGAGTCTTATTGCATATTTGTTAAGGTTGTGGCTTATTTCTTTTGTGTGATTTGGTTATTTTTGATAAAAACACATCAATTCAATTTCTTTCTTTGCTAACGTTTTTGTTTTTATGTTTTTATGTTTTTTTTTTTATAAAAAATAATATAACTAAATTTTGTTTTTTTTTGTGATAAAAATTAAAAATATAAAACATGTTTGAGAGTCATTTATATTTAAAAAATTATAAAAACAAAAATAAAAAACTTGTTTGATATTATACCAAAAATACCCCACCCAAAACCACCACCAACCACCCAACCACCTAAACTGCCACCACCACCACCGAAACCCACCCCCACAACCTTTCCTCTGAAATTCACCACCACCCAACCCCACCACCACCACCCAAACCCAACCCCTCTATGAAACCCATCGCCTACCCCCGGATGAATCCACCCACTCAGATGCACACACACACACATACACAACCAGATGCATAAATCACACACACGCACACACAAACGTCTAGATGCACACACACAGAGGCGCCAACACACACACACACACACACATAGATGCCCAGATGCACACACACAAGCACAGATTCATACATACATACAGAGAGAGAGAGAGAGAGAGATGTTAAAATCAACCGTAGATCTGAAACAATAGACTGTATATCTACAAAAATAAACCGTAGATCTGAAAAAAAAATCATAGATTTGAAAATCGTCGGTGATAGAGAACATCGCCGGAGAGCTTCGTCTGAGATAGGAACCTTTATTGGATATGGCAGAGCGCGAGAGGCGATGAAGACGTTGATATGTTGTGGAGAGGCATTAAACTTGCTGTGCACATGGGCTTTTATATGGTAATGAAAAGGAGTAATTTTTTTTCTGTTAGGAAGGTTCGAATTAGAGACCTCATTAAATGAAGGTTTTCAAAAACATTGGCTTTGTTTCCAAAACATAGCAGCAAAAAAAAAAGGAAACATTAATCTAACGTGTTTTTATTTTTTATTTTTCCAAAATATGAAAACAAAAACATCTTGTTGCCAAACGCACCCTTAAGAAGATAGTTTGTTGGTTAATTTGTAATTTTCAGTTGTTATCTTGAGGATATGATGAATACCTTCTTTATATCATTATGCTTTGGTTCAGCATAATTAATGTGCCCTTCATTTTTGTCTTTTGCATAGGTTTCTATTGCGATTTATATTTGAAATGGTAGAATTTTTGACCTAATTTACAATATATGCACTTATAGCAGTTGAATGATTTTAAGTTTGAGATTCAGTTGGGATGGTAAATACTGGGAGAACTACAAGTTTTTTCCAAAGAGATTATATTGTAATTTCAGCACCCTTTTAAGATGCATATGAATTTTCTATTTCAATTATATTTTTTGTTGATTTATTTCAAATTGCATGTTTATGTTCTCTTTTCTAATGCTTGGAGTTCAATTTGGATCTGTCTCGTTGCAGGTTTGGCAATGAATCTATTTTTCATGGACTGAATGCAATGAAGAAATCGGAGGAGCAGAAGAGGAAGGATAGAGCACAGAGGTTTTATTTTCTGCCTCCCTATTCTACTTTGACAAATTGGTTGTTGAAATCTTCGGTGAATGATGTTGTTTGACTATGTTAGTTGTTTCTCAGGTTTGGGTTTATGCAGCTTGTACTTGCTGATGTAGAAGAAAAGAAGGCAGCTAGGCTTGCCAGATTTGCACCAATCTCCACGACTAATTTAGTGGAAGAAGACAAAATGAAAGCTAGGGAAATTCGGTCTGTATCATTTCTACATCTTTGAGTTTTCTTGCTATTGTTAGGGGGCATGATTTAGTGCATCACAATGTTTTGTGCAATATAGAGACAAATACCTGTATTTATGCTTGAGCATTTGCATTGATTACTATTTAATTCTATTTACAGGTTTTCATGATCTTCGTTCTCTATCACAAGTGAATGTCAAATTAAACATGGATATGGTCGGGCTCTATTCTTGAATTATTTTACATATCAAATGATGGACTCTTTTAAAATGTGTTTCTTTATGCACTTATTTTATGTTGCTCAGGATACAGCTAACGTGGGCAAGACAGGTGGAGTGACTTGAACATCAAAGCTTCTTTGCTTTGCAGTTTGCAATAAGATTCGTTCAAGATATAATTTGTAGTTGCCTCTTGTTTTAGTTTTTGTTATTGTTTTTTTTCCTTACCTGGCAAGTTAGTCTCATTCATGAGCTGTTTTAATATTGTTCTATTTGGCAAGTCAGTACATTTTTGTGATCCCTAGTGGCATTACGCCCATATCTACTTTCTAACACCGATTTTTGGTTGCATTACTCTTCAATTCTTTTTGTGAGGCACAACACAGGATTTTTGGTGATGTAGATGTTCTTTCATCCAACAACATGAAATTATAGCTGAGAAATTTTTTTCTGCTTGCAAATCTTTTAGTATAGAACTGAGATTCTTTGGAAATTATTGATTGGAACCTTAATGTTGTCTGATGACTTTATCTTCGATGCATATTTGATTTCCATGAGTTCAACCTCTGATTCTATATATAGTCTCATCTCAAGTTGCGTTGCTCAAGATCCAGTTGGAGTCAATAGTAAAGTTAATTGTGAGTCTAACATCATTCGATCCAACACTTTTCAATGTTGCATAAGTATCAATTTTAGTCCTTACTTGGAAAATCAAAGCAGACCTGCCTTGTGCTAATTGTTTTATAGTGGTATCTTTTTGGAATTCCCTCTTTGTGTCATTTTTTCAAGTTAGGGACACTAATCAAATGAACTTTTTCCTCCCTGTTCTGACTCTTTGATCAGCTTGCGCTCACACCGTCTTTGTTGAGAGAATAGGCCAAGGGGCTAAGTGAATTTCAAAAGTTGAACAATCAATAAAGCATAGAAAATGTGGGCTCTATGACTAGCTCCAATTGAACAAGGAGGGATCAATTCTTCATTTATTTGAACCCAATAATATACATTACCTCTTTTATGTTATGGAAAACACTAATGTTGGAACTTTTACGAAGACGAGTTGCCAAATAAGAAGATAAAAAAGGACATTGTTGATAAATTTGTGGTGTGCCAATTTGGATATGTTTTTTAAAGGTTTTTCCTCAAGTGAAGGTATAAAGATCTTGTTTTACGTACTTTAGTGTTCATGGTCTGTTTTTATTACTTGACATGAACCAATTTAGCTGCAAATTTTTTGGTGAAAAATGATATTTTACTTTGTAGGTTCAAGAAGAAACTGCAAAGTTTGGAAAATCTGACATGTATTTTTTTTTTGTCCTAAGCATCCTCCGTAGATTGAAGAAAAACTAAAGTCAGGTAGACTTTTTGGTTCATTTGAGAGGAATGCCAAATGTTAATATTGTTAGGTATAAAAATATAGTCATTAATTGGGGACTAATTACCTTGAGATAGTTACAGATTTTAGGTTGTGTGGCATGATAGAGTGGTTTACTGGATTTCACTGTGAAGGGTTGGAGCTTGAAATTCAAGATGCTTCAATTATTAAGGCTCTCGAGAAGGCTTGTTGAACCAAATAGGCTCAAACTAAGAAGCAATATGCAATAAGGTATTGGTTGCTCATTTCTGTTTTATAGTTGTTTCTTACGTTATGGATCACTTGTTTATGGGTAACTTAGCAAGTCTATTGTCAACTTAATGAAGTGTTTTAAAAGTTAATTATGAAAAATTATGTTTCTTTTTGTTGATGGAAGGTTTTGGCAAATGAAAATGGTTAACCTATGCTATTTAATCTTGTATTTAGCATAATCACTAATGCCATAAGCAAAAGGCTTTAAATTTAGCATGTGTATGGCTATACATTGATCTTTGTGACTCCATATTAGGAATAATCCAGAGACAGGTTGGTCTCGGAATAGACGTGGGATAGGAACCACATGAAGCTTTTAAAGGAAGATTAATTGAAAGAAGGGAAAGTAAAAAAAAAAAAAGGATAATAAAGAGATAGAAGAAGGAACAACTAAATGAGTTGTTCTGTAGCACAATGACTGGATATCTCATTTTCAGAACTCGGAGTACGGTTAGGGGCTCACAATTGTTGATGTATGGTAGGGCTATTGTGATGTAAATGGCAAAAAATGGACATTGGAGTAAGAATTTCAATATGACTTTATACTGAAAGCTTAAGGCTTGTATGGTAGGGTTTATGCTTAATGTTGAAACCAAAAGTTTGAATTTGGACAAGTGTTATTCAATGCCAAGTAGAATTTAATAAAGTTATCTACATGATGGGACTCTTCTGAAAAGCCCTAAGATGAAGACACGTGTCCTCGAGTTTTTGGAAACAATGTTGCCCGGATGTGAGCACCATCGGCGAAGAGCGTCCTCTACCCCGAGGTACCTCTCATATAGGATCACGCATTCGGTGTATTATACAACAACACGTGTCCTCGGTCACCGTGTACCCCGGAAACATACCACCCTCGGTCCCCGAGGTGAGCCTTTCCTCGGTGCCGAGGGTCACTCCATCCTGGACGCTTCCTCTACTCCCAGTTAAAGCTACTGACGTACGGGACATCAGCCTATGCCAATCTAGACTATTCATCATGACCTCGTCTTACACAAGTAATGTCAGGACATGCTGGAATACAGAAGTCATAGCCAATACGTGATGGACGCGTGGCATATGATATCACATCAAAAACAGACAAACCGCATGCTGTTGCTGACATGCACTTTGGAAAGCAAACAATTAATTGCACCCTTCTGTTGACGAGACCGCATTCAATGCGGTAAGGTTCGGATATGAAAGGCAATAAATGCTCCTATTACAGAGCATTTATTGCATCCTTCCCGAAAGGAGCATATTGTACCATCGGCGTCCCGACGACTCAGCATTGATTGCTCGGGACCCCGAGCAGTCAATTAGAGAAGACATTCCTCATCAAATCAATACACACGCTACCTGTGCCTAATAATCACCTACTGACCACACTGACAGCAATCATGAGCTTCTAAGGTATAAATACTCCTCCCAAAAGGCGAAGCGGGTATGCAATCACAAACTCTCTACTACGACATAGACTCTCAGTGTTTTCTTCTTCCTCTCTCTCATTCAAAGACTGACTAGACCGTCGGAGGGGATACGCCGGAAAACACTCCGGCACCCTTCTAACTTGTTTCTTCTTTATTCCAGGAAAACCTTTCAGACATACAGGATAGTTCTTCCTTTCCCAGGATCCTCTTTTGCCGTTCCAGGTTGCCATCGTACCTTGCAGGCTGTGTCAAGCAGCGCGTTTGGCCACTCAACCGGCTCACTCAGGGTTCACCAGGGGAGAGATCTGTTCCCAATATTTTTTATATTGTGCAGGATCTTGCACGCACAATCTGGCGCCGTCTGTGGGAAACGAGTAGTTTTCCTAATCTTTTCTCTATAAAGAACAGTGACCATGGTGAACACCAGACAAAAAGGGAAAGGACCCCACCAAAGGAGTCATGAGTTGCAAGCTCCCTGCCATCACGGAGGGAGGGATCGCACCAGTACGATTAAAAATGCCTCTACTCGGTCAAGGGGGGTAACCCCCCAAACCAGTATGGGGATCAGGTCAGGAGGATCAGCCCCCTTGGCCCGTCAGCTGGCAGAGGTGATAGAAGAGAAATTTGGCGATAGATTACGTCAGCTGGAGAAGGACAATGTAAACGTCCTTAGCCGGCTCGACGAGTTTGCCGCCTCAGGCGGAGGGTCGAGGGATTCATTCCTTTCCCCAGGGCTCCCCGTCCATGAGGCGGAGACAAAGGATCTAAGAAACCACCTGGATCACAAAGCAGAAAGCTCCAGGGCCCCGAAGCGACCCAGAGCCGGCGAATGCCATCTTGACAACCATTCCAGGAAGGCGAGGCCGTTGGCCCTGGACGACCTCCGGCGAGGTTTGTCCAGACGGAGGAAGGGAGATGAATTCGAGGAGGACTCAACCCAATCTACACGACGCCCGAGAAACGAGGGGCTTACCCATGAACCCAGGGACTTCAGGAGGCATCCCGTAAGGGAAGAAGTAGATCTCAGAGCCCGATTAGACTCCAGAAGAAAGGGTAAGACTATCCAGGACGAAGCCGAGGACGAAGTCATGCAAACACCCTTCACGAGGAAAATCAGTGAGATGGATGTCTCAAGAAAGTTCGTCGTGCCACGGTTCAAAACCTATGATGGGCGATCCGATCCCGAAGCCCATATCAGACAATATAAGCAGATGATGTCCCTCTATCATTCGGACCAACGGTTTCTATGCCGGGTGTTCCCTATGAGCTTGGGGGACTCTGCGATGAGGTGGTTCGAGACGCTTCCCCCAAACAGTATTGGGTCCTGGAAAGAATTGACAAGGCAGTTCCTAACCCGATTCATCACGGGGAGTAAGCGCCCCAAGGACATTGGATCATTGTTGACCCTCAGACGGAGGGAATCCGAGACTCTTCGCCAGTACGCCATCCGATACTGGGAAGAAGTCAATGAGGTCGAGGGATGCTCGGAGGTCATGGCAGCAGCATCTTTCCGGCTCGGCTTGGCGAGGGACACGGACCTGTACCGATCCCTGACCAAGAAGACTCCCTCGGATATGGGGGAACTGATGGCCCGGATCAACAAGTACTCAAGGGTCGAGGACGAGATGGGAAGCAACAAAGGCCGAGCCCTCCAATCCAAGAGAAAGGAGAAAGAGCGCGAAGATATTCCCCGAAAGGGATTGCTACCCCATCCAGGGGGTTCGTCCAGAGGAGTTCACACCGTCTTCAAGGAACCCATCTTCAGGTTGCTCCATAAAATCAAACACGAGCCGTTCTTCAAATGGCCGCCCAGGATGCAAGCGACCCCTCCACCCGTGATCAAAAAGTAAGGTGTTCATATCACCGGGATGTCGGGCATCGCACCGAGAGCTGCAGGGTGTTCAAGTCATTCTTGGAGAGCT